CTGTGAGCCGTAGTTGTCGCCCAGGGAAGGCTGGGCGTTAGTGTAGATAAGATGATGCAGGTCTGGCGGGAGGCACTGAACTATACTGGCTGGGAGACCCGTCTTGAGCTGTGGACCCGTCAAGCTGGAGCTGCGAAGCCCCGTACTGGGGTGACCTGTTCACACAACAACCATACATTGTTACGCTTACTTAAAACATTGTGTGAATGTGTTTCTTCTTCTTTGGGTCCCCAGTAATCACCAACGTCTCTTCAACCTTCTTTATCAGAAAATTCACTACATTTGCCCACTACCGTTAATTCATCACTTTCCTGATCGATGATGAAGGTTTTCATTCTTCCTGTGAAGTTTTATTCTTCACATCCTCCAGCTCTCCCCTCAGCTCCATACAAGGTTTATTAACTATTATGGTTTAGGTTAATATTATCTTCTAATAGGATGGAGTTTGGGCTCAACAAGAAACTAAATTCTTTCATTAAAAAAGCAGAAAGATATTTGCAGATATATTTAAATAGAGGACAACAGCTTATGACCCAAAATGTTCTTATCAGTGAAGGGTGAAAATATGACAGGGAAAAAAAATTTAAGATAAAATTAAAAATGGTTAGGGAATCAAAAGGCAAAATTTAAGGTATGTGTGAGAAACATTCTTGATAAGACTGATCTACCTGAAACAAATACAGAACAACATATATGATAATAGCGAATAAAATGAGCACCATCTAAATTAAACAATTATTTTCTGTAATTATTCCCACTTGAATGATACAGATAAATCCTTGAAAAATAAAATTTTATGAAGGACAGAAGAAAAAGAAAGTAATGAAAGATTTCACTCTGCATTAACATTATTTTTAAATGTGTAAACAGCTTTACACTAAAACATGTAGAAATTATATACGGAGACCGGAGTATATGAAGAGACAAAGAGAGCTTGATAGAATGGTAAGGGAATGTAAAAAAATAGTGTGTGAAGATTTATCATCAAATTTTTACTGAAAATAAGAAAAACTTTTGGAAGGAGATTAATAACTCAAGAAACCCTAGAGAGGTACTGCAAAGATGGAAGGAATATTTTGAAAAGTTGTTAAATGTTGATGAGGAAAAAGAAGTAATGATTTCATGCAGTGATCAGGGAGGTACAACATCTTGTAGGAGGAATGATGAGTCAGGTGTGTGGGGAAAGTGGATGATATAGTGGATTTAATGAAAAGGGATAAAATAGCTTGGATGGATGGAATATAATTTCGAAGTGGCTGATGTAGTTGTTCAGTGAATGTTTGAAAGAAGGAAAACTGCTTAAGCGGTGTAAGGAGAGTATATAGATCCTTTGGAAAAGGGTAAAAAGGGACGAGAGTGAGTGTAATAATTATAAGGGTAAGTGAATAGCAAAATTTTTATTGAAAGAATTAAGCATAAGCTATAAAGTAATATTACTCAGGAGGAAGATTTAGGAAAGGTAGAGGATGTATAAATCAAGTGTTTATTTTGACGCATATAAGTGAGCATAACTTAGGATATTTCTACTGAATTTATAGATTTAGAAAAGGCATGCGATAGGGTGAATAGGAGAGCAATGTGGCAGATGACGCAATTGTATGAAAAAATAGTAGATTACTTGTAGCAATAAAGAAATTTTTTGTGGACATTGAGATTCTGGAAAGTGTATATAGGAAAGATAAGAGATAAGATGGAAAATCTGGGAGGGTATGTAAATGAAAGAAACTAAAAGTGAACAGAGGTAAGAACAACGCGATGAGAGTAACAAAATAAATATGGGGAATGAAAGACTGAATATCAAACTGGAGGAAAGAATGGAAGAAGCAAATGTATTTAAATATTTAGGAGTGGACATGTCGACGGATAGGTCTATGAAAGACAAGGTAAAGTAAAGAACATAAAATTGAAAAATGGGTTGGTGTAATGAGGCATCTATGGAGACAAAAAACATTATCCATTGAGGTGAAATGAGGCATATTTCAGAGTATAATAGTACTGTATAAAACACCGTTATACAGGTGTGAAACAAGGGTTTCAAACGTCGTAATGTGGAGATTGGAGGCAGTGCAGATGTCATTTTTGAGAGCGTTGTATGGTGTACATACTGAGGAGAATTCGGAGTTAGTGGATTAAAAGTTGTGGAGTTACTAAAAGTGGAATTCAAAGAGGAGAGGCTGTTATATTTGTATACACTTCTAGTTATCTTATTTTGTTCCCAAATAAGACAACTAGAAGTGTATGTAAATCTGGGGTGGAGATGGGTAGGGGTAGGGAGTCATCCCATGATGAGTTGGAGGGAGGGGGAAAAGGTTTTGAATGTCATGGGCTTCAACATCCACCAGGCTGGTTTGAGCACATTAGATCAGAGTGAATGAAGTCAAGTGCTTTTTATGACTAGACATGCAGTTAGAATATAATCAACGTAACATTTTCAAACGGATTCAGGAAAACTGGTTAGCCCGAATTGAGCCCTGGTGGTAGGAGTTACAGCGGCTACGCTCTATGGGAGAGATGAGGATGTTGCAGTTCGGAGGGGCTACTTGAAGTGGGATGTTAGCACACTTTTTGCAAACCTGTGATTGACTGAATGTTGATAAATGCGTTTCCTCTTTTTGGCTCACCCTAACTCGGTTGGAGTCAGCTGATGTGTCACAAAAAATTGCGACCTGTTCTTTCTGCGCTTTCAACGCTAGAATATCTTAAAGGAAGATATGGAATGTTACTTAACTGTGCAAGTGTCAATCTGCCAATTCTTTAGTGCTCTTCAGGGGCTCTAAGGAATTTTGTTATCACGTTGAAAAATTAAAATCAATGTCATACCCTCCTATTCTTCACCATATTATTATTTTTTTACGATATTTCCTTCAGCTGCTTAGGAGATTCTAATTTTTATCCTACATTTCAGAAAATTAACTTATTCAAGATTTCAACTGTATTTTGTAAATGCTATGGCCTAGCTTATCTTCTTGCAAGGGGAGGAAAATTTGCGTGAGATTCATGAATATCAGTCTGTCAACGAAATTAACTACTCTATCATGTGTTCAACAATATCAGTGTAATGAAAATAAATATAAAACTCTATTGGTCTAGGAAAAAACCTAGTTTCGTCGGCAAGTTTATTCAGGTATACACAAATACAGATACATAGGTTATCATACATAGCAGCGCATGTACAGAGAACCTATGATAACCCAAAAAGTCAAAGTGACTTATTTCCATTCGGGTCCTTTTAATACCGTATTATTATACTATAAAGGAGATAATATCTTAGTATTAAATTATAAAGGAGATATACTAGGAATAAGGTAAAATGAGTTATTTATATTTACGTGTGTTAGCTAAAAAAAATAATAAATCATTCTCATCCCTTTCTGTTGCTACATTCATTAGGCACCTTTTGGCTCTCTTCTTGAACTGGTTCATGCTATGACTGGCTTTGACATATACAGGCAGTCTGTACCATTCCTTTATTGCTGTACAATAAAAGGTGTTTGAAGCCTGGCCACTGAATATGGGTACTACAAAGTTGTGCTCTCTCCCCGTAGTACTAATATTGCTTTGGTTCCCAACCTTGACAAAATTGGCAGCAAGATATTCTGGACACTGTGAGCAATTTTATAAACTTGATTTAACTTAAGTTGTTTTACTTAGTCTTCAACATTCACCATATGCAATTGGTCACATATTTGCAAAGGGTTTAGCTAGGTTGATTTTTCCGTTACTAGGCCTCTTAGAGAGGGTGTTGATCGAAAGTACTGGGATTTCCGAGAATGTTAAGTTACAGGTGCTAAAACCTTCCTGAAAGGGTTGAACTAAAAATTCTGGAATATCTTCCGATTCCTGGAATTTTTGAGAGAGAGTTAAGTTATACTTAGATCTCTTGAGGAGAGTGCGTTGCAGCTCTTCTGCCTCTTGCCTCTTGAGGATATTATGATAGAACAACTAAGTCTCTTAGTTGAGTTCTGTGATATAAGGAGTGCCTCCTTAGATTGCACAATGACTGGAACTTATCTAATTTTCATTATATCATCATGAACATTTTTATAATTATATTAATTGTGAATTGTACTTTCCTATTTGTTTTAAGAGCTAAAAGGTCTAAGTGGTCTGTTGTTGAATATTGCTATTTATATTCACCTCGATTTGTATATCGTGAAGACTAATGAGCTTATTGGCTGTTTGGTAAGCATGTCCGAATTTTTCATTTCATCAAGGGCCTCTCTTCGACAACAAAAGTTTTGAAGAATAAAAGAAAAAAGTAACCTAAGACATTTTTTAAATGTGATAACTAATAACCAGACATTAATTGTTTACATTTGCATCAACTGTGAGTAATAATACTAATTATAATAACTTAAAGCATTTCTTTAAAATAACACAGTTTCCCGTACTACATTTTCTTTAATTTATATGGACATTACCACTACTAATTTTACACCAATAAGGCTAGTATAAATTTAGTTCATTTGTGCCAGTTTCATAAAAAATATTACACTTTAATGAGTCTTGTCGTAGAAACCTTCATTCATTACTAATGAAAATTATTAAAAAATATCTTACAGAGCCTAAACTTTGTCATATATTTCTTAATGAATGACGGCAATTTTTTTTTAACGAAACACGAGAAAATTCCAATTTTTATATTCAGCGACTGACCTGGGATGCCCAAGGCTGAGCCTGGGCGTGTGGGTAGCGTGATGTCAGGCATCTTGGAGATGTTAGCCAGGTTAGTCATGCTGGAGGAAGGTCTGGTCATGGCTAGTGAGGCGCCCATCCTGGCCGTGGCGGTGCCGTCCAGGGAAGACTGACGAGCCATCTGCGACCTGCACCGGGCCAGAACGTCCACCGCTCAGTCAGTCAGCCACACACCAGTGTAACGTCATATACTCTACTACCGTGTAGCTAGTCATTAGAGCAGGTGACTGTAAGCTTAGCAGCACGTTTAATTATTGTAACTAGTCACTAGTGCAGAAGACTGTAAGCTTAGCAGCACGTTTAATGTAACTAGCCATTAGAGCAAATGACTATAAGCTTAGCAGCACGTTTATTGTCTACTTTGTTAGTTTTGTTAGCAAATTTATGCCTTTGTATGAGTCAACGAAAGAAAAAAAAATCAGTATTTTAGGAAATTAAAGACTGAGGATAGTTTATAATGTTACTGTGCTGCATTGAATTATACTGTACATAACTGAGGTGCTGGGCAATAAAATTCAACTAGTTGCTAGTGTAAAATGACCTAATGTTAAGAAAAAGGAAAACATTAATGTTCCTAATACCAAAAGACACTGAGGTTGATCCGTATTCTTGCGGTTAAATTACCATTACATAGATTCTAAACTACACATAAACGATTAGCGACTAATTGTGCCATAATCATCGCGGAAAGGTTTTAAACGGGGGAGAGGGGGGGGGGAGGGAGATCATTGCTGTAGGGTTTAGATAGCGAACTTATCATTGAAGACCTGGACAACGAATTGTTGAACGAAAAAAAGAGAAATTGGACAGCATTGCTTATAAAAAAATTTTTTGATAGGTTCGCTACCTTTTACCTCAGTCATTAGGGAAGCACTGTCACATTGTGCTTGATTTCTAAATAATTGCTTCTCTGTATCCCCTTAATTCAGCTAGTTTTATATAGAGTTTAGGGGTAGAATGTTATGCTTTGATAATTATTTCATAAGCCAAATATATAAGCCTGAAAGAAATGCATTCATTAGTGGTGCTGCTGATATCTTATAAAGACACATTTCTGTTCCTTATTTCTTTTTCAGCATCAAAAGGTAACACATGCAACTTTTTTTTTTAATATTTGAGGGGATATAGGGGTCTCAATATTTTATGTTTTTGTTAATCATAACGTAAGCATGAAATGGGATATTTTTTCTTGAAAAACATCAAATGAATGGAGATGGGATATTTCCATCAAAGATTCCATGCAGTTACTTTTAAATATTCAACTTTCAAGGTGCATAGGAGACAAAGTAACTGAACTGACATTAAAAAAAAAAAACATTCGCCATTATCATACTTGTTCCTATGCAAAACAAGCAGTTGGAAATATGTAATTAACATGTAATTAATGCAATTAGCTGTTAATGGTTAACCTGTAAAGAAAAGTATGATTAATACAAAACGTTATTTAAGGGGTTTGGTATATATAATACATCATAATTTTATTGCAATGAAAGTTATATTAGGTGGGTGTGAGTTCTGAAAAAAAAAATCAGATTGCACAAAATATATAATAAGTCAGTCCAAGGGCTTCTTTCCTTGTTGGGTTGACAGTATATTGACGGCCAGTCAATGAAACAATTTGCGTACGTAATAATAATGGTAACATGAAGTCACGTAGTGAAAAATAAAGACCCACATAATTATTTTGCTAAAGTTGGCCTGATAGCACTCTTCGTGGGCCGTATGCCTACATCTAGTACGTTCTGTGATAGCTCTAGGCTAGGCTGAGCTACCTCCTCCATCTCAAGTGCGTTCATTAGACTGGAAGTGAGCTACATCAGCTTCGACTGTATTATATAGACGGTGGGGTGGTGCAGAAGTCTAGGCTTTATGTTGCCTGCTAAGATGGCTCGAGGAAGCACTCGGGCTATCTTAGCACCATTGGCACGTTTTTATTCACGGTCAGGCATCTAAATGCCACTGTGTGGTGAAACGTTACCTCAAAAAAGATTCCCAAGAGTTACACATGTGTCTAATTTATCACTGTATGATTCTTACTGGTTAAATTTTTCTCCATAAATATAATAATTTATGCATCAAAGCGTAGTCTCTTTGTGGTTCGAGTTCTCAAGAGCTTGTTTATTTCCTTTAGGCTACGTAGCAAAAATGTATATTTGATGTTGTTTGATATCAAGCCACATGGCTTGATATCCAATTAAATATTATCTTATCTTCGTAGTATTTTGGAGTAGTGTCCTTAGAGTGTTATTAGAGGTCATGTGACTATTTCTTTCAAAGACTTCACAGCGTAGCGCTAGTCTTACATGGATGACTGAATGCTGGTGCTGTGTGTGGATATGTTGTTACTTGTTGCTTAGGGCTACAATTTATGACTACATGCACGCTAGTGGACTGAATTGTCTGAGTATTATCAAGAGTCTTTTATCGAAAATGCATCTCGATGGGTGTTCGTAAGTGAGCACCTTGCCGGAACTACTATAACTCAGAATTGTTAACTCGGTTATGATTAAATAACTTGGAATTTCTTTATCAGTGTGTGCATCGTGACAAATGTCTGCAAGCAAGCTAGTTATGTCACTACGAGAGTTGTAGATAAATGATTCAGAGAACCGACTTGTCGGTGAATAACAATTACTGTTTTGTTATAATGAATCGTCAGTACGCTTTATTTCTGAGAGGTAAGAATAAATTCGTGAAAGCAGCGAAGTGTTTATTGAATCTTCTGGACAGTGACTTCCCAACGTTACTGATGTAGTGCTTAAATATTATGTACGAAAAGAGGGAAAAACAGTTTAGTTCACTGTTTTATATATTATTGCAGAAGGTCTTATTCCATTAGGGAGTTGATTTAGTCTTAAGACCTCCTTATGCAATTTAAAAATTGATATAGCTTGTCTGTTAATCAGAATGAGAAATTAAATTGCTTAGTGTAAGTAATATTGCCATAATTTTTAGTAAGAGTTATAAAAATGTAGCCACTTAATGAATGCCCAATTAATGAAAAAAAATTAAAAAGAATTCTAAGGTCTTTTCTCAGTATATCAGAATGTTAAAAAGCAAACAGTTTTGAATTTCAGGCAAAAAATAGCCAGGTACATTTAATGAAAATTCTATCGAGAAGAAAATTTTTTCAGCCTTGATTTAAGCACAGGCAACTTGGTCCCACACTGGACCAATGCGTCCAGCGTGAGCTGGACGACAAGGTATTGGTCCAGTGTGGTACGGTTGGTAAAGCACTGCGTACCTTGTTCCAAGGTTCGTAGGTTCGAGTCTCCTTCGGCCAGAGATCAGTGTTTGTGAATATTTCGCCTGCTCTTGCGAATTCTAAGCATATATATTTAATATTTCGAGTACGGATGTGTGACGAGGTCAGCTGGTTCTTACTCCTCGTGGATAGAAGAAAGTTAACCATGTATGTAGTGAGATAACAGGTGTATAGTGTGCAGTGATGATAACAGGTGTATAGTGTGCAGTGATGATAGCAGGTGTATAGTGTGCAGTGATGATAGCAGGTGTACAGTGTGCAGTGATGATAACAGGTGTACAGTGTGCAGTGATGATAGCAGGTGTACAGTGTGCAGTGATGATAGCAGGTGTACAGTGTGCAGTGATGAGTGATGATAACAGGTGTACAGTGTGCAGTGATGAGTGATGATAACAGGTGTGCAGTGATGAGTGATGATAACAGGTGTACAGTGTGCAGTGATGTGATGATACAGGTGTACAGTGTGCAGTGATGATAACAGGTGTATTACCGCTATTCTGGGACATAGCCTTTGCACCGTGTCTGTTGTGAACTTAAGAAATTATGTTACGTACACAACATACATTTTAAGGAATATCTAAAGGCTCTTAATTTAACAGTAGGCTTACAAACTCAGTCAAATTTACTTCAGGCAGCTAGTGCACATTTAGTCCCGCACAACGTACAAATAGTCACGTAGTCAAGAATATATTGTCATAATTATAAGTCCAGAAAATTAATATGAAAAAAGGAAAGAGTAGATGCGCATATAAACTCTGTGGAAAACAAATGAACATTATGGAACCCCAAAAATAACAGGACTTATATATGGCCATAAGAAACTGGAGTGTAATATATTATTAACATCTTAAGATATGATGAATAATGAATACAGAAAAATTATATTAAATTCAAGTATTAGTTGATAAACTGTATATATAGCATTGAGTACATACTGTCCGTCAGTTTAAGAAGTTCTAGCAAGCCACTTTACCTGATTACATTGGTTTTATACTTACGATGAGAAAACAACAGGAAAGCTAAGAGTTTGCTGATGAGTACTTACGAACTGTAAATGAAAAGACAGAGGTTTGCAAGGGAAGTATATACAGTCTGGTATGCAAAGAAAAAATAGTAAAAAAAATTAGTCCAAGAAGTCAACAAGGATACTAGAGGCATAAACAACTCGCCCGCAGCCTTCATGGATCACAGTGGGCTTAACTAAGAATCCATGGTGCTGTGCCAGCAAGGTAACTTCACTCACATCACCCAGTCTAGTAACAATTAAATTAGGTCGAGCTTAGTTAAAATAATTACTTGGCACAGGGTGACTGTTAGCACAGCACGACGCGATCCATGTGCGACGCAGGCGAGTGTCTGTGGCGCCAGAAACATATGCTGTCTTGAGGATTCTACACTGGAGCTCACAAGAAGAGTGAGGAATGTGCGAGGACGGAGAGAGGGGGAAGAGGCATCACAGAGAGTTTGTGCTAACGACCACTGACATCAGGACAACAGGTAAGGCTTAACTGAAAGAACGCTCCACATTTGAGGTACCATAAGCTGCTCATACACAGACTCCAGTAGACTTACGGATTGTATTGTTCTCAAACAATCACACACACACATGCATATATTTATACTTTTAGCAACTAACACTCTACCAGGGAGGAGAGATTCTGCCTGGTTAAGACCAGGAGGATACCGAACTCACGTTATTACCACACTACAAAAGTAATATACAATATATTTGAGTGATTCAGCAGATTTTATTTATTGCTTGCAAGCCCATTTTCAAGGCTACGTCCAGGTTTTTAAGACAACACAAAGGCGAAGTCATGTACCATATACCCATAACACCAACAAGATAGTTTTCTTGCTGGACCCTCGTTATCGAAACGGAACTTTGACGCTCTAATTTATTATTATGGCTCGTTGAGGTTGTCTTAATCAAAATACTTTCCATCTCTAAAGGGCTCTTAATTATTCATACGACCTTGCGGTTGTTATGTACGTGTGTGTGTAGCCTCATGCGTGCAAATCCAGCGCTCAAGGCTTTGTGACTTGTGGCACCTCCCTCCTTCCTCACTTCCTTTTTCATTGGATATTTTCATTTATTTGGATGAGTGGGGTGTTTCTCGACAGTCGGAAGTCTTCAGCGAGGCTGCAAATTACCCACCTCTTTCATAAACTTCCTTCATTTGTAAACAGGTGGTTTCACCAGACGCCTTCCTACTTTGGCGGTCTTCTAGCTGAAGAAAGCCTATGGCAGTACAGCGATGTTGTAGTTCCCTGTCCTCTCCAGTCTCTGAGACTGTTTCAGTGCCCATAGTAATTGCTAGATAAATCGTTGTTCATGTTACTCACGTGAGTAATATGAACCAACATGTTTCTTTTTTTTCACTGCATGTAAATCTCTGGTAATATGGCTGGTGCTGCCCCAGATCATGCAGAATCCTTGATGAATGTGGATAACCTTGCAATGTACAGCTCAGTGTTGACACAAAAGATGGCATGTCATCAGCTTCATCTGACAGTGAGGCACATCGCTATTTCCATCGGCAACAAGTTTTTATCTCGAAAGACTGTAGCTTCTCTATCTTCTTAAGAAAAAATCTGACACGGAATTAAATCACAGAGCAGTGAGACTCGAACCTATGGATTCAAGCTCCACCCGCTCTGTACTCACCTAGTTGAAGTTGCAGGGGTCGAGTTCTAGCTCCTGGCCTTTGATTTGTTTGCAATGGTATTATAGCGATTTCGTAAGTCATTACATCGTCATCATTCTCTGTTCGTTATTCAGTGTATTTATGTCCATTCTGTAATATGGAGATCAGAACTGAGCAGCATAGTCTAAGCGAGGCCTTACCAAGGATATACAAAGTTGAAGTATAACTTGAGGATCTCTCCTTTTTATGCTTCTTGAAATGATGCTAAGAATTCTATTACCCTTACTGTGAACACTTGTGCACTGTTGCCTTGATTTTATATTACTGTTAACCACAGCTCCCTATTCCTTTTCGCATTCAGTTTGATTGAGATCTTCATTATTTCTCCGACCACAACATCAACATATCTAAGTTATTCTGTAGTTCTCTTGTATCCTCATCAGAATTTACTTGACGGCCTATTTTAGTGTCATCGGCAAAATTGCTTATCTATGACGTTTGTGTACATTGTGAACATGGGTCCCAACACTGACCCCTGTGCAACACCACTGATAACAGGTCCCTATTCCCATTTCTCTCTTTTAATGCAAACTCTATTGCCTATTCAGCTAAAACTCGAATCAAAAGATAATTTCTCCTCTTATTCCGTGTGCAGCTACGTTCTTCAACAGTCTTTTGGTTGTAACTCTCCCCAAGGTCTTACTGAAATTCATATACACAATATTGTAATATTTATCTTGGTCTACCGCCTTAGATATCTTAGTATCTAAGGTGGTAGACCACAGGTTAGTTAGGTTAGAACTTATGAACGCCCCTTGTAAAAGAGTGCCGAGATTAATTAATTAAATTACTGTTTTCAACGCGACGTCGAATTTCGTTCATAACTATTGGTTTCATTTGCTTTCCTGCAATTAAAATTACGCTAACTGGTCTATGGGTTAAAGTTAACGAACTGTCTCCCTATGCCATTTTCCACTTACCTGGTGCGATATTCCTTTCAAGTGACTGGTTGGAGACCATGTAATGGCTTCCTATAGAATCCCTGTGAACAGCTCACCAGGGGCTGATGACTTCTGTGGTTTAAATCTATCTATTTGTTTGAGAACCATGTCACTAGTGACTTTGATCTTGCATAATTTATTTTCGTCCTGACTTGATATATTTTATTTCTTGGCTTTCATTTATGTCTTCTTGTTTGAAATACAGAAAGGAAATAAGTATTAAACATGGTACACATTTCTTCGTCACTAGCTGTGAGATAACCCGAGTTACATTTGAATGGGCCTATCTCTTCCCTAATCTTGTTCCCATACACCTGAAAGAAACCCACTGGGTTGGTCTTTAATTCCCTCACAAGCTTTATTTCACATCTTCTAGTCTTTATTACTCCTTTTAGACCTTTTCTCTGACAATAGATATAGTAACCCATGAGGTTATTCCTCCTCTGTCTTGGTACTCTAATAAATGCCTCTCTTTTCACCCTTAAGACGTCATAGTCCATTATTCATTCATTTAGGTTTATGTTTGATTTAATTTTTGTTTGGAATATATATGCACTGCGCAGCTTGTACGATGCGCTGGAAAATGTCGTATTGGCACCCATCATCAACTTCTGTGTTCTCTGTCCTAATAATCCCTAGTCGTGTTACCCCAGTCCACACTGCTCAGAAACTCCATCATCCCAACAAAATACGAGGCATAAAAATCAGGAACCCATTGGGTGGCAATGGGTTCTCCTCTTAGTGCCGTACTGCCGTACTGGTTAACATACGTCAAGGACGTCTTGATCATAGTACCCCTAACTTTCGTAACTCCAGAGAGCAACTCAACCAGGTGGAATCCTCTATACAGTTCACCTTAGAAGAGGAACAGCACGATTCCATTCCATCTTTCAATGTTCTCCTGAATAAAGATAATGACACCGTCAAGTACATCTACAGGAATTCAGCAAATAGAGACGATTTTATTCACAACTAGGGCGATAACTGGTTTCTTTCTGTGTTCCTTTAGGACATGCAGCGGTGAAGATTTAATTGAAAAAAAAAGAATACATAGAGAGAACCTTAAATTCCCTTAAATTTCCTGAAAAGATTATCACCTCCTAAAAGACTAAAGCCCTCAAGATATTTTCAAATCCCAGAGAAACTACTGTCGATCGGAAGCTGATTCTACCTGCAGGAAAGACAGCGACTTTATCACACCTACTCTTCGTACAGTTGACACTGGTGTTGGGGTACCTACCACAAACACTATAAAATTTACCATCGCCCCACTAAAAACAGTTACAGCAGTGGCATACAGTATCTCATGCGGGGGATGCGATTACGTGTACATAGGAGAAACATCAAGGAGACAGATTCTTAATTACAAGAACACAGACGCTCCAGAAAGATGGATGAAATTCGTAATGCATGTGTGGCATACACAAGCTCATACGTCATGAACTTCAAACGAGCCCTTTTTTTATACCAAGAAAGCAACAGCGAGAGGCAGTTATATTTTGAATCACTTACCAGACATGCAAAATCAATCACTAAAACTACACTAGAACAACATTAAAAATCACAAATGACCAAGCCCAGCCTGCGTGATTCAGGCCACATCTAATGTTACCTCCCCCCGATTTGTCACTGCCTGATGACAGTTCATCCATCCTTAACCGGGTGTTACATCGCCCAACACCTATCCCCCTTAATTTGATACTCTTTTTATTTGATAAAGCCTCATATAGGCGTAAGATCCTACTAATAATTGTATGGCTACGCCATGCTTCGTCAATGAGTGTGTGCTTTTGGAGGACATGGGGGAAAAAAATCTGTTGTGGGTTGCGACTCAACGATGGGCCCATGATAAGTAGGGAAAATTAGAACGCTTAAAGCTCTGAGAAAAATAATGTACGAAGATCACCGTTTGGATAAATTTCTAACAGGCATTGTTACAAAGCTAGGAATTAAAATGACGGTAAAGCAGTAAAGATCAATGATGGATGGAGGACATAACACCAACAAGAAAGTGGACAGAGAAATAGTGCCAAAAAAGCCCGCCAACCCCTGCGCATACGGGACCAAGTTTGGTCCAAGTAAAGGGGGTGCCTGGCATCGCTAATCCACCCGTTGTCAGTAACGTACTGTCTCAGACTTCATGCCGAGGTTGAGTCTTGCTGCTCCCCCCCCATAAAGCCCAAAAGGGGGCCCCTGACCTATGTCAGGTGGCCTCTTTTCTTTATGGTGCATGTGCTGGATTAATTTTTCAGGACCACTGACCTATGTAAAAGGGTCCGAATATAATGCAGCAGCATCCTCAGCAGTTCTCCGGCCGGGTCAAGACTGAGTCTGAAAACTCCATCACTTTCTAAAATTTTGATTATAATTTTACGAGTTTTTAATGCCATTTTATGAGTATCTCTTTCCTTAGAGATATTCCCCCGTGATGTTTTGTTTATCTATTGCTACGCATTTTTAACTTGTCATACGCAAATCAACAAATGTGTAAAAAATAATCGATCAGCTGCTACGTTGGTTAACCACGACAAAACGAAACTTTTTAATTAACAAGGTTTCGCTCTAAATAAGGCTTTATTTCCCTAGGGTTCTATCTCAGGGGGTTTACCTATAAGTTTTTATGTATAAAGGCTTTTACCAAATTTTTTTTGAACTTAAAAAGATTTTTTTAAGGGGAAAAGTCTCTAACAGAAAAAAATTCTCTCTGCTACGGATGTTTACATTTTTAACCCTTTCCCTCAAAAAATTCTAAGTGATACCCTATTTAGAACTCCGCATTGTAAACATAAGGACGTTCCTGTATCTCTGTTAGCCCCTGCACGGCTCTGTAATAACTTTAAAAAAAACGTAATTTGATCTTCAACTCGTAATGAAATCTTTCATGGAGGCTATTTACCTGTTTTGCTTGTTTAAACTACTTTTTTTTTTAATAGCGCTTCAGTAAAGACTTGAGAAGACAACCTTATAATATGTGATCTTTGTGAACATGGACAGAAGACATGGTCTACCCCTAATGCAGAAGCGTTCTTTCAGTTCTAAATTTGACAACAAACGAGTGTTATTCGTAGTACGCAAATATTACTTCTTCTTTTTTAAGTGCAGGGCAAACACGCAGTATTTATTATGGCTTAAGGCATCAAAATTTGAGTACCTCTTCCTCCTACCTGACTCTGTCCTTGGCGTTGAGTCCAAACGAGTTCTTTTTATGTGAGGGGAGAGGGGCGGCCTCCTGGTCTGGCGGCAGGTTGGGCAGCTTGCGGCGTATTCTCAAACTCTTCTGACTGTCCGTCTCACTCATGGTGTCTGAGGAGTCGTCTCTCAGGCCCCGGGGTGTGCCCGCGGGGGTGCTCGGCGTCCCCGTTAACATGGCCAACTGGGCATTAACACCTGC